GGGCCGGGGGCTCCGGGGGGGAGAAGGGAAAGCTGCTGTGCATCGCCTGCAGTTTGCGTTGCTCTGGCTTCGCTGCAACAGATCCCGGTGCTACGGAGAAACCGTAGGCTGTGTCTAAAGATGTTTTTCCTGGCACTGTGGTACCATTAATTATCGTTTCCTGGCAATTTAACAGTGATTTAGGAGTGACTTTTGGCAGTGGCACCCCCTTTCTCGGTCCTGGTCGCAAACCCTGGCCAGCAGCGTCCGTCCTGCTGAGCGAGGCGGCCGGCCTCGCCGGCTGAGCGCCTGGCGGTGTCCTCGGGCACCCGGGAGCCCGCGCTCTGCGGGCAAACTCGAATGCTCCATTCCGGTTGTTTTATCAGCATCGTGTGTATGAACTCCACCTATTTCTTCCCCCTCCCTCAGTCTTGGAAGAGGCCTTTTCTGTCCATGTTCTTTCCTGTAATCCTTCTAGAAAGCCAAAGTTACGCTTAAGTTCTGCTGGGCAGGTATTTCGTATGGTTTTGTGGCATCCTCGGTCCAGAAAAGTGGTGCAGAAAGCCATGACTGTCTGTGTTAGGCCAGATGGGGCGAATCGGTTTTTGTTAAGCTCAGTCCTCGCAGGAAGAGATGTGTTTGTTTCTAGAAACGTGCTTCTAAATCCCATCTTTGCTGGAGTTGTTCCGGAAATCGGCTTCAGCACACGCGTGTGTATGTCCATAGCTTTCCTGTGTGTGTTAAATGCATGTCCTTCTTGGTTAAGGAAACCACGCTGACATTCAAGTCCCTAGTCTGGAATATGAGCCAAGGGCACTATGATTTGGCTCGAGTTTGACATTAAGGAGCACAAGGGGGAGGGTGCTTGGCTCTCGCCCTGCCAATCTGGGCAGCAGTGGAGCGGGGGGTGTTGATCTTGATGAAGCCGCTGATTCTAGGTGATATTTCTGCCAGTACGAACTGCAAAGAGACGCTCAGATGCTGCTGGATCGTCGCAGGGTGGTCTCTGCGGAAGCCTGAGGCACGCAAGTGTAGCCAAGGGACGTCGTCGTCTTGAGGGCAAGCGGAACTTTCTTGGAGAGCACGTTAGCGGTGCCACATGTAGGCGGAGTGAGCGATTGAATACCTGGATCCTGCCGAGGTCTGCGGAGTGGGGCCATCTTATAAATGGAAAATGGGTAAAACTCTCATTTTCTTACTGTCTAGTTAAGGTGGCTCTTGCCAGGTGTTTTGTGATGCCTGAAAAACACCTAATGCCGTTTTTGTTGTGTAATCTCACCTTGTTGCACTTTTCTCCTGTTGTGGGGCCAACACGCAGTCTGCCACCGGTACAGGATTGTCATCCTGAAATGAAGGCTGTAACTGCAGTTAATTTGTCCACGTGAATTGTTCTTTTGAAAGTCCAAGTGTGCCACCGTTCTTTAGGGAGCTTCCCCTCTGTCGGCTAGTCCCATCCAGGAGGGCAGTGCGGACAAGCGTGTTGTTGACTTGTTCCTTAACTTAGATATTTAGTTGATGTTATTTTCCCTAGTAGTGTATGTCGCTTGCACTGGCAGCCGGGAGTTTAAACGCTTATAAAAGTTTCAAGGTTTTTCCTACTGTTCCTTTTGACCTGTGCATGACAGCGTTGAGTGTGTTAGCATATCCTTTGGTAATGACTCAGTTCTTACAGTGGCCAAGAATAAAGATTATACAGAGGAACGATTTTCTTCCTGTGACCCTACTCTTCTTGCGCTGTGTGTGATGGAGGTGGTCACAGAAAATGGAAATTTAAGAGAGTAGGTGCCCTCTGCTTTTGCTACTACTTTGCCCGTGTGGAGAAGTATGGAAAATACATTTTCTCCTTAAAGTTCAGAAGCTAGCGGATAAGGTTACCCACGTGGCCTGCTCGGTTTGCGAAAATTCAGGAATCTGGGACTTGTAGACGCAGTCAGAAATCATTCTAGAAGTACAGTAGTTCAGTTTGCAAAGGTAATTTTACCGCTAGAAATGCGACCCTTGGGAAAGGTGGTACTTTCTAGCTGTCTGCCTGCTCTTTTTAAATCTTTTTAAAATTTTGAAAAACAAGTTACATGCTGTCTAATACTTCTGTTCTTATTCAGTCTTAATAACCTGAAACTGGAAAATACTATATTTTAATTACGTTGTTGGAACCTGCTCCGTCAGTACCTTGACAGCTCTCTTTGTCTTTGGGAACTGTCAGAGAGAGGAAATGGGAAGGAGCTTTATGAAACAGATTGGCGGCCTCTATCTGTTACCCCTGAATGAATTTCAAAACATCTATTGCTGCTAGCAGAGAGCTGGAAATTGTCAGGCCTGCCTGGCGAGCCGCTCTCCCGGGCAAACATGGTCGCTGTTGTTTCCAGTACCTTTGATTGTTTCTTGCCCGGCTGCTTACAGTTAGCTTCTGAACACTAACAAAGGACCTCTTTGTGGCTGAGACTTTTGACTTTTATTTTTTGTACAGTGTGAAGCACAGTAGATCTGATACTTTTACTGAGCTAGCATGGAGAAACCACCGGGTTTGTTTGTTTGTTTGTTTTAAATATCCCCACCTGGAGCTTTCTACAACATCTGTGCGGCTTGGTTTCTGTAACCTGCGGAAGAGTGAGTGCTGATGTGTCTTACAGGTTTTTGCTGCTGGGACTTTGTTGTGTATGGGAAAAGGTGAATCCAATAGAAGCTGGAGTCTTGTCACCTGTGAGCAGTGACCGTGGCAGATGCCTAAGGATACTTGAAACTGGAAAAAGAGGAGCTGGGTGTCTTTCTGTGGGGGAGCAAAAAAAGCTCAGTGAAACAGTACAGTTGATTTATCTCCGCTGTGTGATAAATGTGGAGGTGTGCAGCAACTTTTTTGAAGAGGAAACGTTCCCCCCCCTCCCCAGTAGCCAGTGAAAGGCAGCAGAAGGCGGTGTGGTGCTGAGTCTTTGCATGCCAGCCCAGCCGGGTCTTGGATTACCAGTTTGGGATCATCTAGTTAGATACCGTGTATGACTTTCTCCTAAAATTTCTGTTACCCCTGATTTCTGTGTATGTTTCATAGCTTGTATTTCGCCGAAGCATATCTTCCAGGAAAGCTTCCAGTCTTGATTTGAAGATGTTGGGAGGTGCCAGATGCATCTTTGCCACCACATTACGTTGTGACTGTATGGGTTAATTGCTTTTACTAAGCCTTACTTTAATTTGAATTTAATTAGCTTTAATGGCCTCTGTTGGTTATTGGTGTGTTTTTGTCTCTCACACTAAATAATTCTATATTGCCATCATGTGGATATGATGTTAGTTACTGAACTCATAGTGTGGCAGCAGATATCTATGGAGCTCAGGAAGTTTAAAAAAGAAAAAGAAAAGGAAAAGGGAAAAAAGAAAAAGAAGAAAGAAAGAGGGAAATGGTAGGGAGAAGACTGTGGGCTAATACAGCTTTCATAGGAATTAATTCAGCCTGTTTGGTGCAAAAAGCAGAGAAATCGCAGCTAAGGAAAAGGTAGCCAGTAGATGCTTCTGCCTGGATGTTTCGTTTTATTCGGTATCGTGAGAAATCTTTCCTGATGGCCAGCCCAGGGACATTTCTTTGGAAATAAGGATACGTGCGTGCAAACCAGCCATTTTTGGAAATACGGGATCGGTATTCAAAACAAAGTATTGCGTAGCCATTCCTTATACATTGTTCTTATCTCTAAAACACCTTGCACAGCACGAGATTTCCTATAAGGCTGTCTGGAGGAGGAGATGATGATTTATCTGAACGAGAGATTAGGGAGACAGAAGATCTGCAAATTGTCAGGAACTTTTTTCTGTACCCTTTCGTGAGGGTTGGCTGCACCGCTTCCTCAAGCTTGTTGGAAGCTTAACATTTGCTGGATATTTTTTTCCATACTACAAAAGCTTGCCGCCTTAAAGTGGGCCGTGGTGAGGGTCTGTGTTTGCTGATCCACTCTGCTGATCCTCTACCTGGTCAGAATTGGCCGAGTTTAGGCATGTTGCTTCACTCGAGCAGAGAAATCTTGCATCAGGCTACTGATGTGTCACTCAGCCTGTGCTTTTTTAGTGTTTCGGTATGCCCTGGCAGTGTCCGGTTGCTCGAACATCCGGGAGGCGGTTGTGCAACCCGACTAAGGCACGTTAGCCGGCCGGGTACGTTAACTCTTGTGGCAGATGAGGGTAGCTGCCTCCCGAGAGTCGCCGTATTAGAATTGCATTATTACCCTTTCCTGAAAGGACGGGATTGCATAGTTCCTTCAAGTAAGCTGGAAGTGTAGAAGAAACCTCTTTATGCAGAGACCTTGTGAGAGTTTAACGCCCCGCCTAGTATTAATTCTCTGTATCGGTTTCTTTTTTTGTAAACACGCTCCAGAAACGTTAAGGATAATGGGGGAAAACTTGGTGGGAGTCAGCCTGGGTACCTAGGGCTGCTTTCGGGGGGGAGCGCGAAGACAGGCCCCCGCTCCCGCAAGCAATACAAGTGAGGTTTCACGGGCTGGTGGAGTCAGCGGCTCAGCGTGCCGGGAGGGTGCAGGATTAGTCTCACCCTGAGAAATCCCTTTCCTTCCAGTGGCGTGTCCTGTGCGCAGAGAGCGTGTGTGAGCGCCGGGCCGGTGGGAGCTCCCTGTGGAGAGCTGCTTCCCCGCGGGCCGGGGAACCCTGGCTCATCGGGGCGCCGTCACGGGACTGGAATGCTACAGCAGTTTGCAAAATGGATCATCAGTCCGAAAGATCAGCTCCGTGCTTTTATGCAGTTAGATCTGGCACAAGGGTGCCTTCCTCCCATTCCCGTTTATTGCCATTTTTTTAAAAGACCTGCTTAAAGTGTGTGTTATCTGTAATGCAAAGTCTCAATGGAACTGTTTTAAACTGAAACCTGAGACAAAGATTTCAATAGGTTTAAACAGATAAAAATGTTTAATATTTAAAATAGATCATTTGGGGAACTTTGACTTGTGAACTCTGTAGAAGGGATGAAAGGAAACTTTGTCTTTTCTATCTCCTCGTTCAAAGGAAAACGACATTTGCTGAAGCCTTGCTTTTTAATCCGTTGTTCTGGTTTCTGTATAGAGGTTTGTGTACGGATCACTCTCTTACTGAGTGATCATTTTATGAGAGGCGCCAGCTTATGGCAAGGAAAAGGAACGTTACTATTTTGGAGCGTCACAAGTATGTACAGAAATTTAATCAGCGTTGTGTACCTTTATAGATGTGCTGAAGACTTGTTACTGGGCTAAGAATAGGTACTTTTTTATCATCTCCAAGAGTTTAAACAGATTTTAAAATGCAGCCTGCAGCTTAAAACCAACGGCCCCGTTTCTGTTGCCTTCCAGATGTAGTGCTTGGGGCTTCCAGGCAGTGTCACGGACAAAGCACACGCTTCGGTTTGGTTGCCACTGATTATTTTTTTGTGATCTAGGTGGGTGAGAGAGATCGCGTGTCGCAAACTGGCAGTCAGCCTCTTATTTCTGAAATGTCGAGGCCTGACGGCTTGCTTTGGCCCCGTGCAACACGAACGTCTGAGTTTCATGTCTCTGATTTTGGATGTATTGTCACGATTATGGCCAAGGTTGGGTTTTTTTGTTGAAGGTTTCAAAACCCTCTGTATATCCAAACAGGATTGTTTCTCTGTTAGTTACGATTTTGATTTTGAATGCCAAAATATTGGTTAGTTTTAAACTGTTATTAATTTTTGTTGCGTTTTCCTGTGTCTTACTCTTCACAATAACTGAAACACTCTACTGCCGTTGAAGTAACAGATTGGTTGTACTGTCTGTTTGTCGTGTTTTCTTAGAGTTCCCAGCGTGTGTCAGATGATGGGTTGGTATATGGAGGGTAGAGGGCTTTGACATTCGTTCATCTTTTAAAATCTCTTTCAGAAATGCTTTTATGACTTTACCATTCTTCGGAATCAAGAAAAAAACTGTTCCTTTGAGAAAAAGTTGATGATAGGCCAAGATGGAACTAGGTGTTTTTGTTGACAGATTCTTTCTCTAGCAGTAACTATTAACGTAACTTTTTAAACCAAAGAGGCAAACCGTACTGGCTGTTCCTGGGAATTTTGTTTCACTTTGAGAACTGACAAAACGATTAATAAAGAAACCCTTTGCATGGTGTTCTCAATCATTGCTATTGTTTTTAATGTAGTTACCGCATCAGTTATGACAACCAAGAACACGGAGCAAAGCAATGGATTACGAGAGCGCGGTCCCGCTCACTGAAGCGGATTTGGGTTTGTGCTGAGGATGACCGAGGTCGTGGCCTGCCCGCTCTGCCGGGGGGCGGCTCCCCCCTTTCCCTGCCCCAGTCTCCCCCAAAAACCAGATGCTTCCGACATTTCCTTAGGTCATTTTTGTCATGCACTTTATTTGGAAAATAACAGCTCTGATACTAATGTCCGTGGAGAACCTACGGTTTCTAAATGTGACAAAGAATGGATTGCCATGGCAAAGCGAAGTTAGAATCGAACTTAATCCGGCGCGCTGGAACGGCCCCCGCTTCGTTGTGCGCTGGGGTGCAGGGGAGGTGTAGTGGCTGGGGGAGGGCTGTAGGGCCGCCTGTATTGCTCTCCTTGGTGTTCGACTAAGTTAGCAGGGCAAGTGTGTTTATAAAAACAAAACTTGAATTATTTCACTTAAATGCCCCCGTGTTTAAATGGGGAAAGAGCTAGATGTGAGATAGAGAAAGACAGAAAAACACTAGTGCAGAAAAATAAGCTACTTAGTGTTCTGGCTTTTTAGTAGTTTGGGATTTGTTGTGGATTCTCTTTGACCTTCCTGGCCTTACATACTTCTGTATGCGTATACTTTTAGGCACTGCTTTCTCGGATTTTTTGACATAAAATCTGCTAGAACTGGCTGCAGTCTGTCCCCCCTTGCTCCTGGTGTGTTGCCCAAACTCCTGTATAATTCCAAGGGTCTGCTTAGCTTAGCTCTTCCCAGTCTCCACAGGCTCCAGCCTAGGAGAACATAAGCCTTTCTGCATAATCCCTGTCATGCTTACCTTGCTGGGGATGGTCTTAGCTGTGTTGTCTTCCTCTTGCTGTATTATTTTAAAGCGTACATGGAGCTGAAAATAATCCCTCTTACGCGGTTTAAGTCATCCTGACTTCACTCGTACGAGCGCTCCTGTGTGCTGTTTGTTTTTCTGGCTCCTCTAACTGCTGCACATTTTGTCTTGTTCCGTATGGTTTTTAACTCTCAGGCTGTGGAAAGATAGGGTGTGTATCTATCTTTGCTTGCCTTCCCCCTCGGACAGGTAGGTTTGGGTGATGCTCTGCTGCCTCTGGCAGCTGCCGCCGCTTTGTCACTGCTCGCAGTTTTCTGGTTAGAGCTGCCAACTTGCTCTTTCCAGAAGACAAACCAATCGAGCAAGCCTTTCATCCTGGCTTCGGGATTTCATGCTAGGCTGAAAATACGTCTGCGTGACTAACCATCTTGAGAACTTGCTGCAAGAGGATCTGGCTTCAGTTGGAAATGAAAACTGAACTAAAAGGGAGAGGAGGAGATACATAGCCTCTTGTTCCTCCTTAAACGGGGGAGCTTGTTGAATTTCAGGTCGCTGGTTGCAGCACCAAAAATAACCCGAACGCGGGGCGCACGAAGCTCTCAGCCACTGACCGCTTACGTTGCTCCAAACTCCCCGCAGTGAACGAAGCTGGACCAGCCTTCTTCTAGTACACCGGTGCGGAGATGTGTTTCTCTAAATGAGGGCATGCCGGTAACTGATTTTTTGGCAATTTACATGACGCTCAGCGCATTGAAACAGTAATTGACTTCCTATAGGTGTTCAGATGGTGAAACGGTAGGATGGAAGACAGCATTTCTAGGTTTATTTTAGTAGCCTCTTAGATATTAGTTTCAAAAAAGTAAACAATAAAACAAGGCATAAAATATAACGCATAACCTTGCAGTTAATGTAACCTTTTTCTATGACCAAAATATAGGTTGGTTTTGTATTAGTTATATACCTATATAAAGGCAGTGAGCAAGACTACGGTCTGATTTAAGTGAACTAGAGCATTTAATTCCGTCCCCTGCTGTACTGCCTCCTTGGAGAGGGCTGTGTGTAGTTTTTCAGACTACTGTAGGTTTCAGCTGCTGTGGCATAGGCGCCGAGTCACGCGGCGGTGCGTGAGTGTTACGTATATGATGCCCGAATCACCTGGGGTTTGGCGTCCTGGGAGGCAAGTCAGGGAAAATGCCGCTGGTGAGCAGGAGGCTTGCTGCTGCGAAGCCTTTGCGTATTTTTTTTTTTATTATTCCTTGCTAATTTTGAACACGCTCGTGGGTCCTTCTCTGTTTTGTTTTTTTTTTTCCCCCTGGAGCTGGTTAGTCTGTGTCCTCCGGACTGCAAGGAAGGATAGTGTTAAATGCCGGACACCTTTTTAGCAGTGGCAGAAGAGGATTGTATCTGCTTATGAGGTATTGCATGAGTTTTCCAGTGGGATTAAAAGGATTCCGTGAGAAGTGGCTGCGTTTTGGATTAGGATGAAACTGTAGTTCAAATAATGCTTACCTTAACTTTCAGAGCCATTTTAGGGAGGTTACTGGGTTTGGCGTTTAAAGGTAAGTCAGTGGACTTCTTAGCAATGCTTGGTGATCTCCAGGTCTTGTGCGCTGTACAACTTGAATATATACAAACTTTGGTCTTTTGGCATAAAATGGAAATGTAACGCTAGCTTCTCTTACAATGTAATACAAAAAGAAAATGCAAAAAGAGCCGGTATGTACAAATACTTGTCACATACAGTCATTTTCATTCACAGTTCTTCTGTTCTCTAAGCTTGATGCTTTATACCTGTGTGATTTTAATTGTTTGTATTAAGAGATGCTCTGTAGTCTTCTAAAACAGAACTCGTGTCTTCATGATTCGATCTTAAATGGCCAGACTTCCCATGCTTCTGAGCTGAGGTCAGGTAAGTTTTCCACTGAAAACAACAAATGGCTTCTCATTAGGAAAGGAATTTTCAACTCTAAATAAAATAAAAAAGTGCAGACAGTGCAATATAAGGTTATTATATATGTCGTAATCAGTAGATGTACGTGCATGCGTATCAACTAGCTGCAGTAAGTTCTCTTAACTCCTGGGTCTGGCTGTGTGTACTTAGCTCTTTTTTCTTTCACACGTAAGCGCTTTACCAAAATCAGAATAAGCAAATGGACTCTCACGGATGGGGAACGTACACTGGCACTGCTCTGCCTGTACCGGCGCTTCACACCAGCAGGGCTGCACAGTCCGACAGCGCAGAACCACCACCAGCAAGCCTTGCTGTGGGGCTTGGCTGGCCCGGTTGTTCCAGCAGAAACCCCTGGTGTGGAGGGGGCCGTAGGTAGTTCTGCAGGCACAGACCTCTAGCCGTCAGCCCCTACCTGCTCTTCAGATCCGAGATGAAATGAAACTGTAAGGATTACTGGAAATAAGGCATCTAGAGGCAGCATCGTAATTCTTACAATTGCAACTGTTCTCATTCAGAGATTTTTTTAATGACTAGTTTTTCTTGTCATGTGTAATTCCCATGTCTGGAGTGAATTCCCTTCTGTTTTGTCTTAAGAGTCTGTTCAGTCTGCTGCAGTTTTTATTAATAGGCTTTGAAACAGAGCTGTGCAGCACCACCGTCAAGTATATACCTGACAAACCAGGAGAGAAATCTGGAGGGTTTCAGATCGAAGTGTGAGCACAGCCGGTGGTAAATTTTTCAAGTTGCTGTTGTTCGCTTGGCAAGCGTTTGTCCAAATCTTCCTTAACGCAAAGCACCGGGGGGAAAACGAGCGAGCCCCGTTCCTGTGCTGGGCTCTGTCGCATGCCAGCGCACAGTGGACTGATGACTACATTTCGTGCTGGGGAAACTCTGTTTTCTGTGCTGTACAATACATAAAACTTCTGTAGCGTTATTGACTGCCGCCTGTGTATTAATTAGGCTTCCTGAGGCTTCACTGACAGGTGAAGATGTAAGTTTTTCTGCTTTCTGATGTCAATTTTCTCTCTTCTAAATTGCAGGAGAGCTCATACCTTAACAGTCTTGTTCATCCTCACGTGTGCACTGGGCTACGTAACCTTGCTTGAAGAAACACCACAAGATACAGCCTACAATACAAAGAGGTAAATATTTGAGAAAGCGTTTCTATAAGGTGTATATTAGAAAAGGGTAGCTGTATGAAGTTAGCGTACGCGCCTTTTTTTTTTTTTTGTGGATAAGCTACCTCAAATGACCTTTGCATTAACTTGTTTAAATGCCCAAACCCTTAGAAAGTGACAAAAGCAAGCACGAGTCTATAAGCTCCCTTGCTGGTCGTTGAATTTAACTTCTCATCCGTTTAGCGTCACTCCGTGTCATACCTGGTGGCTGCCGTGCGGGTGTGATTTGAAACAAAATACGAAACTTAAAAAGCCCCGAAGTACTGGCTGTGTTTCTTTGGCAATGATTCTGCCTCTTTTTCTTAAAATAACCAAACTTTCTAAATTATGTGAGCCGTGACTAAATTTTTCTGACTCTAAGTGCTTTTTGTCAAATTACGTTTAAGATTTCAATACGGATCATTATTTGTCATTGAAAATTAACATGAGAACTTGTAGCCCAAAGGGAAACTCTTGGAAAATAAGAATGAGACGAGTCTTACATGTGTGGTCTGTTTTTACCATAATTTAAACTGATTAAATGTAGTCGCATTTCTTCTCTTTTTAAAGAAATAGAGTAGGGAACAAAAAGGGGGAAAAGTAGTAGTCTTTTAAAAATCTAAGTATATTTTAAAAATCAAGGGAGTGCTTACAGACTGCAAAGCATCCTTGCTGTGAGCGTGAAAATCATTCTGTTTTCTGCCGGTCTGGTTTCTTAAAGATAAAGCTGTTTTTTCCCCTTTGCTATTAAAAGTTTTTTTTCCTATTTTTTTACTTCTTTTTAAAGTGACTCAGGATATAGTCTTCATTGTCATGGAGATGCAGGAATTAGGGTATTTCCTGAGTTAATCTCGGTTGTTATTCTGTCAGTTACAGCGCTGGCACATGTGCCCAGCTGGGGGGTTGTATTTTCGTGCGTGGGGCTGAAATGGAACAAGCTGGAACACAACGCCCTGTCTGGAGCTGGGAAAATTTCTGCAAGGCTTTGGTGTGAACAAATGCCATTTTATTCCCAGTTATACCGAGGGAGTCTAGGGAACAGACAGAGGCCTGACGTCCTCTGGAATGGCAGTTCAAAATAAAGAAGGGGAAAAGCTGAGTGAGAAGTGATGACACATCATTAGGGAGTAATACAGAGCTAAGGTGACTCAGTGGAATATCTTAGTACTGAGATTAGAGCCTTTAGTGCTTTAATAAAAACAAAACCAGAGAAGATTAATGAGCATATTAACCTTTCTTTCATGAAACAGAAGTTGCTTTCTGCATATGCAGTGCAGGGGATAATGTGTCCAGTTGTTAAAATCAATTTAACGGCATCATACCAGGCAATGAGTAGCGAATGTTCTTTGATCACTTCTGCATCTCTGCTTCTGGAATACTGCCTGCAATATCTAGATGCAAAAATACTTGAAAAGCAGCATCCTGAGAATCGTATACGGTCTTCCAAATATTGGCGTTTGTTATTGGTTTTGAAGGATACATCTCTGTTTCCTCTCATGTTGCTCCCTTATGCTATTGCCATAGTTGTTCAAGCTACGTGCCGAATTCCGAGACAGTCGGTAACTCGGCCAAATCATTACTTTTTCCAAGCAAAAGCTCAGTGCAGACGTAATGCACGAGTCCTGTGGGCCTCTCCTAAGCTGCACCTCTGTTGCCTTGGCCCTGATTTACAGACTGGATGGAAGTGTCTGTGTTGGTCAGCACACTCCTTATGCGGAGTCAATTTTCAGTGAACTCCTGTCTGGTCACAGTTAAATCTCTTTTCTAAGGTCTTTGAGGTAAGTGCTGTGCCAAGTTTAGCACCATTAAGCATGAAGGATTCCAGCTCAATTCATGTCCCAGCTGTTGTTCTTACCGTCTTCAGCATCCGTGTGCCTGCCGCTCTCTTGTATCTCATCGTTCCTGACCGATTTTATGTGGCTCTTTAAGTGTATATTGGAACAAAGAGGCATTTCAGAGCAGAAGTAAAACAGTCACAACATGCCTAAGTCACAGATTATTTTTTTTTTGCTTCCATAACTTAAAATACCTTATTCTACCCTGAGATCTTTTTCAGTCTTCACGTAGAGCTGTTGTGTGTTTTGACCTAAAATTTTGGCCTGCATGAGGCTGCGCTGCGTGCACTGATTTCATGGGAACACTTGCCTGCTTAATGAACAGAAGTAGTTTTATTACCAATGAGCAGTGTCTCTAGCTGTCACGCTTTTTTATTTCCAACTACTGCACAATGACAGTGGAGCAGTGTTTCAGCGCTTAGGTGCAACGCTTGCAAACCTCCTTTGTTCTTGAGCTCTTGCTGAGAGGTGCCAGAGTGCCTGCGAACTGCATTAGGTGCCTAGAGCAGAAGATAAAATTGAAGCAAAGAACACGAATCGCTGTGCTGGCTCCTGTTGCTGTGTTGCCTGGACTAGCGAAAGCAGTAGGGAGTCATCTGAGGCTCCCGTCTTCTCCCCTGTAAAGCGCTTCATCAGTCACCCGCAGAAGCAGCTGAGGGCAGGGCGAGTGGCCGGATTCATGCAAGAAGTCATCAGTAAATGGTGGACAAAAACCAAATGAGAGCGTGAACCTGTGAGACCATGGGGTGTGGTATCCATAGCTAAGATTTGTATTTGCATCTGTTTATATGCTGACGTTTAAGTGGCATTTTCCTTCCTGCGACGTGCTAGGGTAATTAAAGGAGGAATTTTTTCTTTAAGATAAGATTTATAGAAAAGTTGTATATGTAAATCTAGTCAAAGTTCATGAGGACCATACACGCAGATGCTGCTGTGTCACGGGATATATGTGATCAGATTGCCTCTGTTGTAAAGGCAGTTGAAAATTTACTTCGTTAGCCAAAGAGATGTTGCGCTGCAAAACCTGTCTGATGGATGAGACTTGTTATTCACACAGTTCCTACAGCATTCAAAGCAGCCTTGAAACAGTCCATCCCGTCTGACAACTGTCGACTTCTCCTCTGCCGTTAAGCACCCAGGAGGAGCTGACAGGGCTGAGCTCCAGCTCTGAGGGTAGCTAAATAAATATTGAGTGACCTCCTTTGCATACAATGCCTGTGGAAGGAGTCCACATCTCCCAAATACTCTGAATGCTGAGCAGGGGTTCTTGGGGGGAAAAAAGTTGTTTGTGGTTTTTTTTTTTTCCATATAAAAAACAAATTCGCGTTTAAAAAATCCCGTATGCATCAGGATTATACATTGAATTTCAAGCCACGGAACAGTCTCTCTTCTAAGATGCCTTTCTACACGAGTTTTTGGCCATAAGTGATTGCTGCTCAGCCACGGTCACAAATCTAGGTGTGTGGGTACCTGCAAGGTGATGATCTCCAGCTCCTGTCGCTGAACACCCACAGAGAAAGCAAGGTACCGAGGTGGCCAGGGCTCCATCTGCCAGCGTACCGGCTCTCCAGCGCGTGATGCCACTGGGGGTTGCAGCCGGAGCAGGGGCAGGGAGCGGAGCTGCCCGCTGGCGGCCCGCAACAGCGGGGGATGCACAGGCCCTCCCAGACAGCCTTCCTTGTCTTGCGTCTCTGAATCAGCCTTTCAAATCACACAAACAAGAGCTTGTTTGTACTAATGAAACTGTTGCCATGTTCTCCCTTTCTTGTTCGGTTAAGTGCTAAAATTATTTTTGTAGGCATGCTTTACTAGTTAGTGTCTTTCAGATTTAAATCTTTTAAATGTCGTTGACGTTTTACTGGCGCAATGAGCAGCTCTCTAACTTGAGAGGTTTCTCGCAGCTAAATTTTTACGTGTCTCTGACTGCTCAAAGACATGGGGAAGCGTTTGCCGTACTGTGCACCTCCTGATCCCCCGCAGGCTAGGGCGCATCGTGTGGACCGAGGAGCTGCTCTCTTTGTTTTGGCTTTGCTGGGTGCGTTCTCGGGCAGATGGGGCTCCTCGCCCGGCTGGCCGGCTCCCAGTAAAGGACAGCAAAATGGAAGGCAGGGAAGCAGGCAGGCAGTGGGGAGGAAGGGAGGAGGATGGATGGGTAAACCTCGGGCTTTGCAACAGTCTGTCATGAAACCGCGCTTAAAAGTACAGGAATTTATAGCCCTTTCCCTGAAATACAATCTCCAAAAGGCATCTGTTTATGATTGACGTGTTTAGTAGTTAAGAAACAGACCAGACCTTTTTTACATCAAAGAATATAATTTACAATTTCATTAGGAGGATGATGCAATATAAACAATTTGTTCCCTTTTTCACTTTCAGAGGTATTGTTGCCAGTATTTTGGTTTTCTTATGTTTCGGAGTTACGCAAGCTAAAGATGGACCGTTTTCAAGACCTCATCCAGGTAATTTAAGTTGCTTAAGTCCCTCGGATATTTCTGATCAATTGCATGGTTTATGGTGAACGTAAATATTTGTGTTGCTTGTAGCAAGGTAAGTCCTAATGTAAATAATAATAATAACAGAGGTTCATTAACACTGCACACCTCTCGGGTCGCCTGCCAGCCTCCAAACAGCACAGCGATCCTTCAGCGCGTTCAGTCCGCATGTAGCATAGGATTTTTTTCTTTGGATCTCCCTGTTTTTGGCTTCCTGTTGTTAGTAAAAAGCTTTGTGTGAACTGCCAGATTCTTGAAACCTTAGCTTCCCTTGTTTATCCCTTTTTTTTTTTTCCTTTTCCTCCTCCTTTCTGTAATGGGACTGCACTTCTGACCGTGTATCCGGTTGCCGGAGCGCTACGCTCCCTTTGCTCTGTGTCCATTATCCACAATAACTGGTAGATTAGAAACCCTTGATTACGATTTTAAGGATTTCCAGTAAGACCGTAAGTCCTGAAAGCGTTTGAAAGCCCAACACTACTTCCATGTAGTGTTATATCAGGTGAAGTATGAAAATACTTCAATATCTTTGATCTTTTGCCTTTTTTTAGATGGGAATCATTGAGAAAGAATTAAGGGAATTTATATAGGCTTACATAATAGTCCTGAAAGCATTAGGCTCTCCTGCAGTCAAATGAAGCTATAAGTATTTCTTATGCCAAAAATTTAACCTTCCAGTTTAGGCATGCTATTCTATATGAGAAACAGCAGACGCATTAAAAAGGTCGATAAAGCAGTTGCTGTTTTAGAGCAATGCCCGCAGCACACCTCTGCAGACGTAAGGTGTCATTCAGAAGTTTGCATTTCTGAGGTCTCACTAAATAGCAGGTTTTAGTCTTTCCTTCCTGTTACGGTTAATTCTGGTTCCTCCTATAAGACAAATGACTCCTTTCAAGGACACGGGTGCTATTTGAGTGCTTTCAGTTTTAGAACATCCAGTGGTTTTGTCTGGGACAGAAGTCGGTTTTATTCCCTAGAACAAAGTAGTACAAATTGGATGGGGCAAGTCCGAAGGTCGGAGATCTCCACAGCAGCAAACTTCTAGTGTAGACTGAGCCAGCGTTTGCCACCTCTCTCTGCTACTCTCTTGGTTACAGCAGTTACCGGACTGAAGCTGAGCATCTTTCAGCAGAATCAGATCGTCCACGAACAGGGTGATAGAAGAAGCTCCCATGTATTCAACCAGTTCAACTACTGAGTGTATTCATCTCGTCTTTTGTCTTAACTTCACCTTTCCTCTAGCGTGTTTGACGGGATGATCTTCTGAAGCGTGGTTTGCGGGGGCTGTAGCGCTTGGCTAGGACAGTGGGTACGTGCACGGTCACGGCAGGACGTCTGGGTGCCGGTTTAAAGGAGACTGGCAGTCTTTCTCCGTACCACTCCCGTGGGAAGTCCCTTGCAGGCAGCAGAGGGCATGGCGTTGCAGCCCGGTGAGGTCCAGCGTCAGCTCGCCAGCTGCCGGGGGGCGCGTTAGGAAGTTCCCGTCAGGCGGTTGAGTCTCTGACCTTGGCTTGGTGGTGCTGCTCCAGGAGAAAGATCTCATCTCAAAGGAACTGGCAGCACAGGCCGCTGGTGTGTGCTGCTTCCATTTATAGGGCAGAAGGGAGCCTCTGGGTCAGCCGGGTCACTACGGTCACGGACAGCCACATCAGATCTGTTACGTGAATTCTTCAGGCTGTGTCTTAAATGTAGCTAGGTTTCACGCCCTGCTTCTGTCGGGTGACTTCGGAGCCCTGTTATTCAGTATATGCGCACTTATTTATGACCAGCTCCGAGGTGGTTTATATTTTGGTTTCTTTTTGTGGCTAATGTTCTGTTTAAATAGCTCTACTTACTCAGTGTTTATCCACCCGATTTATTTATACACAACTCACATATACCAGTTTGTCATTGGTTTTGCTAAAGCAACAAGTTTTGCTTTTAGTCTCCCCCCTCAATATAAGTCTGCTTTCCTCCTAATGTTTTGGTCTTCTCTTTGTGTCTTTTGAGTTTTCGTCTTTGAAAAGGGCTGTCCAGAACTGTGCAGAATATTGCAGATGTGGGAGAACTTCATGGGTTTTGTGACAGTTACTACTTCCCAGTACCTCTCTGGCAGCGCCTCGGTAGCTGTCTTTATAGTGCACGTGCTTTTTTCATGGCTGTATTACAGTGACAGCTCGGTGAGTGGCAGATAATACCGAATGCTTCTGTTTCAGCTGATGGGCTAACGTGAAAACTTACCGGTTCCTAAGTGTGAGACCGTGTTACGAGCTCTTGTATCACTCTGGTCCTTGGAGATCATCTGATTTTCTCTTTGCTGTCCCCGTCTTCCCTGCTGCTGTTGTTTGTGCTTTGTGTTATTAACCCACTTTTCACTAAGGCCATTAATGAAACTGATCTTAGCCACCACCCAAGTGGTATCCATCCAGACTGGGGATTTTTTTTTTTTTTTGCCTTCCTTACATGCCCATGTTGTAATTTTCCATGACAATTATTAACGCCCTAAGAAATCGCTTTTAATATTCCCGACCTTTGCCAACAGTTATTTTGACTTAACACATCATGCCTGACAGCACAAGCGGTTTGGAGACTAAAGTAGGAAGTTCGTAACTAACCCGTAGGCTGGAGGGCTGAAGTGGCTGGAAATGAGCAGGCGGGAACTGGGTCTCTTCTGTCCCTGGGTGGAAGGCACTGGCGGAACGGGCTGCCGGTGGAACTGGATGGAGCAGCTGGTTGCCTTCTCATTCTGCAAAGGAGGAATCCTTTCATTAGAACTTTATCCAGGGAATAGTACGTGATCTGCCTCTTCCTGACAACTCCTTTAACAATTCAGGAATCTGGGTACTCACCACTGGTTTTGCATAAATATATTGGACTATTGGGATAGCGAGACTAATTGGCTGCTTTTTCACTGACTGGGTGGAATAAATGAGTCTCTGTGTAGGGGTTTGGACAAGCTGAGCCTTTAACTCATATTTTTCTATCTTAACTAGCATTTAATGTGTTCGGGCACTGCGTTTAGAAATACCAAATTGCCCACGTGGAGCTAGGAGTAGTCTGGAGGGCTGGCGTGCCTCTGCTGCTCTCTCGGTTGTCCCACCTCCTGGCCCTTGCGACTCTCGGGTCATGGGTGGTGCTTTTGAACCTGAGCTTGCTATGGAAAGCCACGTACTCCGGAGCAGTAACTGGAGCAGGCGTGTGCTGGCCCAGGCTCACGGGGCTGCTCGGAGCAGACAGTTCTCCCTGCTCGTGCCCTGTGCGACTTTTGATTAGCACTTCATAGCTTCCACCCGCTTCGCAGCTCTAAGGTAAGTGCCTTGCCTGGGCAAATAACTTAGAATTTTTTTTCCTTACTCAGGTAGCCTTTCAGGTGGCATAGGTCAAACTTGCGCCTCTGTTGATAAATAGGGGTAAGTGCTGGTTGTGCGCTCAGCCAGGCAGCGCGCTCTTGTTAAGTGCTCATCTTGTGTTTGCAAGCCTCCCTACAGCAGCACCAGGTTAGTGTTTGAGCATAGTAATCACTAACCTATCAGGTAAATGATTAGTTGAAGCCTACTTAATCAGGAAGATAGTCCTAATTTGAGGGAGGTTCATGGTGACAAGTGCATTTAAGGAAAACAAATATTAGAGGTATGCCAAAAATAACTTTATGGCTAAAGCTGAGGCCAGTCCAGGAAGAGAGAGAACACAATGTTTGTACAGCTTTGAAAACATCTTGTTTCTGGTGTACACGCACAGGTATAAAGTAGTCTTCAAAACCTCTTGGGTACTTAGGTCGGCTGGGGAGAGCGTACTAAATTATAACCAGGTCTTGTTTTTTTATGATGAAGTGTTGCTGAGCATGTTCAGCAGCTGCAGATCCTCTGTTGCCAGAACCCTATATATATAGGAGGAGAAAAGCGCAGCTAAGGACTTAGATTTTTCTGATTTCTGAACTATATGTACATCAGTTTCAGAACTAGTCTGCCACGTTTATGTCCGAGTAGTGTAAAATCTGTCATACAGGGCTTTATAGGTCAGAAAAACACTCAGCATTTTTAAGGCTTATAGGCTGGAGGTGATGTTTGAAGGAAGCAGTGCTCAGTTCTTGTGGGAGAAGTGTGTTAATGAAAGGTTAATTCGTCTGGCATGAACATAGTGCTTACTCTTCAAGGTATGCAGTCCTTATAGGAAAGGATAGAAAACACCGTATCAAATGCAACCTGATTTTTTTCCTCACTTTAAGTCACCCCTGTGTTTCTGTCCTGCAGACTCACATGCAGAAGGCTGAAGTGCTTTTCGGCAGCACAGCGGTGCCGGGGTGGGAGAGGTTCCTCTCTCCCACGTAATCCTTTGACCGAGGGAGGGCTTTTTGCTTGTTTGGTTTTCCTGAGCTGCATTCTAGAAAGACAAGAGTGCACACGCACTCTGGGTCCGTCCTTCCGTGAGAGATTTGCCAGTGGATTTGAAAGTTAACCAAATCTGAAGGAAGGACAGAAGTCTCAAGTCGTGTTTTCTACAGCTCTTGTGCAAGGAGAGCCGCACAAGAGGCACTAGTTATTGCCTCTCCAGGGAGAAGGTAGGCTGAACTCTGCTTTTCCTTCCCTCGAGGAGACCAAGGGGCAAACCCACCTCATAACGTCCGTTTAGAGGTTGGTTTGGGTTTTTTTAATGACTGATCCCTGAGAAGACACTTCATTGTGTTGCATAATTAAGAAATGACAATTATGTTTGTAGACTGTAAGTAAAAATCTTAAAAGTTCCAAATTTCCAGTGAAAGCTGTCCCAGAGCTCTGAACTTCCCGCTGTCCAGGCCACACCTGCCTTTTCTATTTTTCCTTTTTTCCCCCTGCAAGTGTAAAGTAGGCCATTTTGGTGAAATTAATTTAGCAGTTTTGCTGACAAAAGGTCACACCTTCTCACATTTCAGTCTATTTTAATGATGGTGTCAGAAGCAGGCTGTTAGAGACTTCTTTAAAAATGTGGAATATTTTTGTTTGGTTGGGTTTTTTTGCTACTTGAGGCTGAATTGGGCAAAGATGACTCTCTTTTTTTTGTTTCAGGGGGCAAGCAAGCCTCTGGGAAGCTCTGCAACGCCACAGCTAGCTGATTTCAGGTTCTGAGCTGACAAACAGTATGTTTGCAAGCCCGGAGTTTATGTTCAGTTCTGGCATTATTCATGTCATGGTCCTGCTGTTACCCATTAACATACTTACGGTGCCTTGGAGTGAAGAGAGATAAATGCCCAAATCAGGCCTGAGGGTTCTGGGTTTTTTCACTTCAGGGCAAGCCACGTTCACGCAGGCGGAACAGCCTGCTGTCTCCACTCAGCCGCATGAACAACTGTCTTGGTCCCTTTTTGCCCCAGTGCGATTGTAGCTATCGCCGAGATGTCACCATGGAAGGAGAGCTCTGTTTTGTAAGCGTGAACAGGAAACACCCGAAGGAGAGTCTATGAAAATCATTCCAGGGTGATTAGTGTGTGATGTTACTGATATCCACTTGGAATGAGTCAAGTTTGGCTGAATTACCGTGTGTAAGTTTTTGGATGGGGTTAGGAAGAAACGCTGGAGCGCTCTGTCTGTGCACATATGGGCTCCACGTTAACCTGCTTCCTCCTGTACAGGAGTTAACAAAAACGCGGGATGAGATTTCAGAGCCCAGAAGATGCTTGGGGAACAGAGGCCAAACCAGTCTCTGGGTGGAGCAGGATGAACTGGGGGCATGAGCGCAGCCCAGGGGCCGCAGAGCTTGCACCCAGGGCAGTCGGAGAGCCTGCTGCCTCCAGGCTGAGTCTTTCAGAAGAACTGAGGGGACAGTGATGGAGCTGGAAGCGTACAAACACTTTAATTTGTGTACCCTTCAGATTCAGGTGTTGCTTCAGTGTGAGAAGGTCTGCACTCGCACATCTCCGGAGGGTGAAAAACAACTGCAGCAGCTGAGTTTTGCATGATGTTTCTCTTATTATGAAGAGTTTCAGATGATCTCATAGGTCTTGCATCTAGCACCTGCTAAACCTTTGGTACCTCTTTTTTATTTAATGCCTAGTAAAAGTGAAAATATCTTTGGTATTTTGAAATGCTTTCTACCCCTTGAGGAAACAACCTTGTCTTCAGGGAAGAAGATGGGCTTAGGAAAGTGAAGGCAGTGGTTCCTCCTGCTGGCCTTAGTCCTGTCTGTTTTAGCAGTACACAGGCAGGAGCTGGGAAAGCGCGTTAGCCACGATAGGGCTGGGAAAACCAAAGCTGGACAGGTCGGGTTACGTGAGAGCGTGGAGAAAGAAATCGGATTAGTTCAGGAAGGCTATGGTTCTCTTCCAAGGACTGCTAGAAAGCATTGCAAGCAGCATGCATCTTTCCATCCAGTTCCTAAATATTTCGTTCATTGGGCTGGGGCGTTCTTGGGGATCCTGGTCCGTTCTCACAGATCCAGGTCATTGCCTGGGCAATTCTGGGAAATTGGCAGAGCAGCCTGTCTGGTAGGTAAAGAGCCTTTCTGGTTGTACTCTTTAGGAAGGATGGTGAACGCTTTACTTGAATGCTGGGCTTTAGAATTTCTTCGTGGGAGCATCTCTTTTTGAAATGTTTAGTTATGTTACAGTAAATGAACAGTTGACTGCTGATTTGCTGGAAAGCTTGCTAACATCCCGTTTCTGTTTCTGTAGCTTACTGGAGGTTTTGGCTGTGTGTCAGTGTTGTGTATGAGCTCTTCCTCATCTTTATACTGTTTCAGGTAAGTAACTTAGACCTCTAGTTACTAAATGCCAGTTTAATGTGGATATAAAATCCTTTGTGGTGTTCTTTAGGATTCTCGCTGACTACAGGAGATGCTCTTCGTTTTTGTGAAATCAAATCATTCTGCTATTGAATGAGACTTCTAGGTTGAGGAAAAATTATAATATTACAAAAATATTTCACCTTGTTGTCTCACCTCCAGTTAGTCTCAGCCTCGGTTACACACCGCAGCGAAGTGTTCTCAAATGAGTCGATAAGAAGTCAGAGTTCTTGTTTAGCTCAAACCATCAGGAGCTGGTGCTTCTGATGTTTCGTCTCTGCTCTGCGGGACTTGCTGTGACTTGCTGAAGTTGTGTACCAGCAGTTAGCTTCTTAGATCCTCCAGACTGTGGAGTGAATTCATCTTGTTTAATCTTTTGGAATACTTTTTACCTTAGATAATACGTGGTTTGAACATTTTTTTGCCATAAACCGAAACCTCAGGCACGACTTCGTGTAGCGGCAGCAAACTGAGGATGATGGGTTTTGTAGAAAGACATGCTATCGGTACTTTCAAATAAAGCATGTTCTTTTTTACCATATTCTCATCCTTTAGTAAACTGAGAATTTTCCTCTGGCCTTTACAATTCTATGACTTCTCGGAAATGCAGCAGTTGAGGTAAATATTCCGAGATAAGCAAGAACAGTAAACCTGACGCTATTAACAAAGCCACGGTGTCCCTATATGTACGCTTACACCACTGCAAGGCAAGTCTGAGTGCCAAGAGCGAGCTCGAGACTTGGAAGGAGACTCACCTTTCCTCAGTTACGCATCCAATGATTGCGGTCATCGCCTCAGGAAACAGCGTGGTTTGAAACCAAAAGCAAGGGTAGAGGTAGTAAACCATGAGAGGTGACTGTCCTGTCCGCTCAGGCAGCTGGCTGCTTTGCAGATTTACGTTCCAGTTAGAGTCCCCAGGTGTTCATTTTTGGATAGGTCCTTCTTGCTGACATCTGGGTGACGTGGTGCTCTGTAGTATAAAAGCGTTGTGCAAGTACATCACCTACTCAGCAGGGAGCTTTAGAAAGTCATTTTAGATGAGAGAAGGATGAGGAACGTGTTTAAAAAAAATGTTTTGCCTCTAGAGGCCAAGTGAGCTTGAAGTGGGGCTGGAATTCAGAGGTGTCAGGATGGCATCCGCCTTCTGCTGGAGTAGGGTATTTGCTTTGCAAACAAGTTTTTAACATTGATCAAACCCTTTCCAGCTGATCAAAGATTTCCTTTGGCTCCAGCGTTTTGTGTTTTGCTTGGCTTTCCTGGAGCCTCCCCAAAAGTCAGTGCCAAGCTTTCTTAAGAACACAAAACTGTCCTTTTTTTTTTTTCTTTTTGCTTTTTTGTTTGCCTGGCTTGTTTCAGCGGGCAGCTGGAATGTGTCCGCAGGAGCTCAGCAAACAACACCACGCGTTCCTGTCCCGTTGACGTGACTTGGGGGTTCAGTGTAAACCCTTGCGCAGGGCCCTAATGTCTCGTTAGGGTTTCTTTCAGGCTGCCTCTCCTGCTTGGAGGGAGCGGAGTTCTGACCCTTTCGCAGGCATGAGCAGGTCTGTCTTGCCATTTTTGTTGTTATTCCTCACCGCTGAGGAATACGGACTCAGTTCCAATTTATTCTTATGTTCTTACTGTTTCATGTCACCCTGGGTTTTTTTCCAGGCATCCTTGTAAATGCTGCTCCTGACTGGCTGCAGTCAGACTGAATGATATGTTTCATTTTTATCTGATAGTACTGTTGTGGTTCCGAACTCTAATAGAAAAGCCTGGCCTTGCTTTGCTTTCCTCTGGCGGTACGTTACGTTGCCAGCCGTTCCGTTGTTAAGGACGCTCGCTAGCTGTTGCTCAGCTCTTTACTAAAAATACATTATTACTTTGCACAGGTTTAAATAAGGTTAAAATTATGCTGAGTCTGTAAGTGACTAAACTTCATTAAAAGCAAATACAAGCTCGCTCATAGTTGAAACTCGTCTTACAGTTAATGTCACTTTAGTGGTTTTATTCTATAATTTTCTTATTATGGCTGTGAACTAATTTTGGCCTTGCCCTGCTTTTACTGTCTGCTAGTCTGTCATAGATGTTACAGTGCTTCTGTTGTAAAACATTGACCACAACAGTGAGCAATTTCATCGGGCAATACTAGTTCAGCAAATGTCTGTGCGAGTTACTAGTAAGCCAGTTCAAGTTTTGGTCGCTGTTTATAACTAGTATTTTGACAATTTCTTCCTTGCTGTTTGCTTCAAGTTTATTACCCGTGCTGCTAGTGGGACTTATTTGAAACGACTGTTTATTCAACGAGCTGCGCGAAATTTTTCTGCCATGAAATGCGGTGCAGTTCTCGACTTTCTGTAGCTGAAGCGAGCTGAGCACACACGCACGACTAATCCTGCTAACCGTGCACGTCATCGGCGCGCTCCACCTGCCGATGTTTGCGTCTACTGGATTTCTGCGGAGCTGAGTGTTTAAAGCGCTGCTGGATCCCTCCCGTTCCGGGAAGCCAGGAGGTCGCTAACGCGGGAGATGAAGCGTTGAACGAGCCTGTCCTGAGTTACTGGCTGCTTTTGCTCTACCCTCGCCAAGCTTGAGGCGGGGAGAGGAAGGGCAAGAGGGTCGGTGGGAAGGATGAATTGTGTGCCAGTTCGGGTGGTAGGCTTTTGAGAGGGAGGCTTAGGAAACGGAGTTAAAGATCTCTCATTTTTCATCTTTAAGAAATCTTAAGTTCATTTTTTTCCTTGATATTTAGCGTTGGAGGCCCAGGAAGTCAGGTATATATGCTGTGTGATGCTCTGAGGTCTGAATATATTTCAAGAATTGTTCTGCAACACATTTAAAACAAACAAACAAACAAACATTCGAGGATACAATGTTGATATTAATTCTCTTTATACTTTTCTGTGTATTAATACCTATTAAGAGGGAAACATGGGATTTGTCTTCCTTTTGCAGACTGTACAAGACGGCAGACAGTTTATGAAGTACATTGATCCACATTTAGGTGTTCCTTTGCCGGAAAGAGACTACGGTGGAAACTGCCTTATTTATGATCCTGGCAATGAAACGGATCCATTTCACAACATCTGGGTAAGCAACAAATAAAGTTATTTGCTAATGACTCTGACTATTTTTTTGATAAAAGGTTGCTTAATTAAACTCTTTGAAGTGCAGTCATGAGTCTGTCTGAGCGTTGACAGGTCATGACTGACTCTTCAGTTTTCTTGTTTGTCTTCTGTTGACCTTTCCTGTCGATCAGATGGAGACGAGTCTCTTTAATTACATTGCCCAGGAGAGAGAGTAAACTGTTTAACAATCCTTGTTTCTCAGATTATTGATGTAAACCTTTTCCCCTGGGAGTTTGGGTTTATTTGTGTGCTTAAAGAATCTTCTACTTTCAGTCACCTTGAGGCACAAAGTTCAGAAGTTGCACGTTGCCAAGCAACCCCTAAGTTGCACTTTTCTGAATACCAGAAACTGTCAGGTTATTGTTTCTCGCTGGCAAACAGAAGACTTGAAATTCAAGGGGAGAGGAATTCTGATTATTTACAACTCGCTGATTGCACAGAGCTGTTAGCGCTTGTGTAGTGAGGAGCGCTGAATGCTTCGGGTCTACCGCGTAAGTCTTCAGTGCGTCAGGAGCTGGAATAACTGAGAGCAATTGCAGCTGTCCTTTTCTAGTTTTGCACCAAAACTAGGAGGAGGAAAGGCACTCTTTGCCCAGGGGTTTACGGTGGCAGGACTGATAAGATGTAAGAAGCTCTGCTAGATACAAGATGGGGGTCTGGTGAAGAAATGCACGTTCTTGCTCTGGCTTGAATGTGTTCCCCTTGGAAGGCAAGGAACGTGATGTTTAGCGTTAAAAAGATAGTCTCCGCTTTATCAATATGATCCTAATTCCAGTTTCTGCCCCTTAAAATTGTGACTTTGCTTTGAAGACAGCTTGTTTGTTCACTGTACTTGAGAACAAACTCACTCATAAAATGCATTTAGTATTTATATGTGAAACAACTGGAGTTTATTGCTGCGTTTTTCTTGGAAAAAGTAAGGCTTAATGGGTTCTTGTTTGTAGTGCAAAGTGACCTACACTCTCTCCTTGGTTTATAGGACAAACTGGATGGATTTGTTCCTGCTCACTTTTTTGGCTGGTACCTGAAGGTAAGAATGGGTCTTCTGTTACAGTACTATTCTACTTTTAAAGCTTGACCGCTTCTGTTTTAGTGATGCCAGTCTTCGTGATCAATTATATTAGGCAGTCATCTGTGAACTAGACTGTGTTTGTAATACATGAAAGGCTTCCCCCCCGGCCATGTTAGGTCACCTCATTTCTTTCCAAAGTAACGTTACATTGGCAAGCTCCCTCCTCCGCCATAATTCATTCTGAGGTCCAATCAATAAAAGTAAAAATCTTCACTCCTGTAGCAAGATAGATGCTTGAATGACCTTTGAACGTAGAGTATGGGGAAGGCAGTGGAAGTCTGCTGTTACCCAAACATAGGTGTGCGATGCTGCACTACTACTAATCCAAGGCAGGCTTTTCCCAGTGGCATCCAAATCGGGATTTTAAATCTTTAAATGGGCAGTGGCTTCATTCTTGTTACTCCTCAGTCAATATCAACCGACTGCGGAAGGAGTTCCAGTTGTGCTTGTCTCTGGCAGAACTCATTCAACACATGTTTTGCTCATTACTTTGGTCTAAATACTAGCTTTTTTTTTTAACCTGAGCAGACTTACTAGCTAACTTTATTTCGCCCTGCAGACCTCGTTTGTTTTTTCACCTGCAAGACCACCGTATATAATAAACTGAAAAAGCTCAGGCCATTTTAAAAATAAGCTATAACTGTTGTTTTGTTTTTCCTTTTCAAAAGTGCAGATGTATTCCTATCAGTGTTGTGTTTTGTGCTGGTTTTGTCCCCTGTAACCAAAAGACGAGTATGCTGGCGTGGGGAGACCTTGGCTTCAGATCAGCTGGTCTGTGGCTTGCTCTGTTAGTATAAAGAATTGTAAATTTGGAGGAACTTGGATTTTCTTCATCCAAGAGAATTACATTAGAAACGTCAATATCAAAACAGCATTTCAGTTACATTCTGTATTTATTTTTACAAATAACGCCTAGATAGTGAGAGCCTGGTAACAAGACATAAGGGGAGTAGTAACACATTCCCGAGGAACTAGAATGGGATAGAATGCGATGTGCCAGTCAGGCAATCAAGCTGTTACCTGCCTGGCTCTGGAAGAAGCCTGGTTGTTATTGGAGAGATGTTTCTGCAGAAGTGCTTGAGGTGATGTGTCAGCTTGTCAACCTGCAGCCGGATTTGAAGAGCCCAGCATACTCCACAAGGCGTTTGTGCTGCTGTCCTTGAAGGAAACTGGCTGCTATATTTCTTATTTGTCAGTTAGCGTATTTTTCTCTAAAACGCTGGATGGTGAGTGTGGTGTCTTCATAAACAGAGATGAACATGTGTTTGGGTTTGTTGGTTTTTGGTTTTGTTTTTTTTTTTTTGGTCTGGTTTGAGTATCAGACTCTTCAGCTGTGTCTTGAAGCACCGGAATGGCAATATGGAAAATGAATGTGCCTCATTCATCAGAAATTATTGTGGGCCTCCCTGTTTGCTTTGGAGTCATTTAGATCACGCGTTGTCAGGCTAGCATGGATAATGCATAGCTTATATTTTTCCATCTTCTGGCTGAGGCGGTCAATGCCAAGCTGCATTTACTCTTGCAGAATCAATACGAGCACATTCGGGGTTGCCGCTTCCCATCTAGGCGCCCTGCTGAGGGTACAGCAGACCTCTGTGCTCTTATCCACTTACAAATATGAAATAAAGTGTTACCACAAATCTCTTCCCTTGTTTTGACAGTAGGCTGAGGTGATACCTATGTTCTAGGACTGCAGTTGAGCTAAATCCTTGTGCTGACCGTGGAAGAAGATGCTGCTCCGCGTTGCCCACCCTGCCAAGCTGCTAGCTGATATAAAGTGGACTCAGGTGTCCCAGCACAGCCAGGGCTGAGATTTAGTGCCGGTGACTAAAAGCTTGCATTAAGCAGGCTCTGAAAAGCCTTTTTTGAGCAGCATTAGGACGATGCTACCAGTGATGGTCGAGCACCCAGTAATTCCATTCATTTAACTCACTAACTTCCTTCTGAATCCTGTCTTGCCTGCCTTTATTCTTTCATGTAATGGTATTAATGTAATCATCTCTACTCTCCAGCGTCTGTCTTGTCTATTGTGCTGCATACTTGAGAAGTTCAGAGGCCTGTGGCCATTTGGCTTTACTAGACTATCACAGGATAAAAATAAGATTGTCATGAGTTTCCCAATCCTTTTCTGGATACTGGAGACAAGATATTGAGCTGTAGAAATAACCAGCAAACAAAGCACACCATGTGTGTCCTCTGTGTGCAGCCCAGAAGGGTTAATCTCGTATTCCTTAAGTGATCAGTTTTGAAATTAGGAAAAAACCATCATAATTTTTCCATACACTGTTGCAAAACTGTAAATCTGAGCGGGGTCTCTGCAGTATTTATGGAGGTCTCCTTTATTTGGATTTCTAAAGGGCGTTAGTGTAAGTGCTGTCTGGTTCTGCTCAGTCTGGTGTGCAAGTATTCATTTTTGTAATGGTTTTTGGTACGCTGCAACTGCTGTGGATATTTGACAGACTTTTTCTCCCTTTACATAGACACTGATGATTCGAGACTGGTGGATGTGTATGATCATCAGTGTAATGTTCGAGTTTCTGGAGTACAGTCTGGAACACCAGCTTCCGAACTTCAGTGAATGTTGGTGGGATCACGTATGTACTGCACAGATCCTAATATATTTGTCTAAATGGAAGGAGATATTTTAATGGGAGGGGGTAGGAAGTGGTGAGAACTAAATTATATCATGTGCATGTGGCCAAAGATGCATGTGTGACTGCTGCAGCTCAGGAGCATCGGTGCTTCTCCGTGTTGAGTCTGTCACTGTTTGTATAATTTTGTGGGGTTTCAAACTCTTGCAGGTGGTTAAATGTTTGTTGTGGTTCATTTCGCACCAGAGAGGGAATCTAAAGCTTTACCCGAACGTTTCCAAATATTTGGTGATGGTACAAACCATAAAATCTGAAATTTAGAGGAGGGTAAAACTTTGTGTTTCAGGTTTCAGATGGTGATTTTTTTTTTGCCTGTTAAAAAAACAACCAAAGCTGGACTCAGTGCAATTTGTGTCCAGCAAACGTATCCTCACTGTTTTCTGAAAACAGTAAATATTATTGTGTTTAGAATTTCTGTTGTGGTTTATAAAAATGTTTTAAAAGATAAAGGTTTGGGCTTACTGAAAAGTGACAGTCTGTAACCATTCTTGTCCTAAAATACTGCTTGTGTGTATTTTTTCAAGCCGGAGAGACTACTGTGATCTAGTTTCTCTGTGGAAAAAGCAAGCTCTATACCTTAAAGTGACACTTCTTCTTTTTTCATTTTTTTATTTTCCTGTGAAATGTAAATTGGTTACCAGAGCGATCAAAATTATCTACATTCAGGGCACACAGCTATGGTTCTTATGTTACTTTGGCTTGTTTTTATTCTTACAGTACGAGCTCTTTCCCAAGCTTGTAATGATTTACTACATGGTTGTATTGATAAAAGTAAATGCATTATGTATAGAGACATCAAGCAAAGCTATTTTGCCTTCAAAAAAACGTAGGAAATTAACACTCTGTGCCCCGCTTCTTTGAATGCAGAGGACGGCCAATTTTTTTTCAGCTCAAGAGCTCCATCTCCAGAATTAACGCGTGGCAATAAGACAGAGCATGGGGAGAAATCCCGTGTCTAATTTCACATCTTGAGCCTGGAGATAAGTCATTTCTTTAGGAGGCAGCCGGAAGCTTAAAGAGCATGTCAAGTTATTGGGCATAATAAAATCCAGTCCGTAGGAACACGTTCAGATTTTCTTTTTGGTGTATTTCTAAAGTTCTCAGTTAATAGCGTGGAGTTGAGCTGATAGTAAGTGGGAAGAGGTCTGTTCTGTAGCAGAATTAATACAGCAAAAGAGGATCTGCGGAACACACTTGCTTTATGTGAGCAGACGTGGGCAGCTGAGGCTCTGCTCCTGACGGCTCACGCGCCCCTCTCCTCTGGGGGCGTTCGGTCCCGGTGGCCGAGAGCGTGTCGGCACGTATGGGTACCTATAGTCTCGTCCCTCTACAGGCTTCCGTGTTTCTTCTCCAGCATCACTGTGTTTTTCTCCTTTCAGTGGATCATGGATGTGATCTTATGTAACGGATTAGGAATTTACTGTGGGATGAAGACTCTGTCTTGGCTTTCTTTGAAAACGTACAAATGGCAAGGACTTTGGAACATTCCTACATACAAGTAAGCTGGCGTAGAAAGTCACTCCGCAAGCAGCAGCACAGCGTAAAGCTTGGGCCAGTGCTAAAGGTCTTGGTTGTTGAAAGGTGTTCTGTTGGGGTTAATGTGAATTACAGAATTCACGTGTGTGTAGATGACTCAAGTATCTAGTAACTCTTTCATTCCCAGCAAGGATCTGTTTGGTCCTTGTGCAAATAATGCATTCCCTAGTAATCAGAACTTCGCAGTAATTGGGACGCTGCAACTTAAAATTTAATAAATCCCCTGTAGCCTTGTACCAGTAATGAGCTACCCTTTCCTGTAGTGTGTCTTTGCTGAGCAAAGCAGAACTGAGGAACTGCTTACTACAGTGGCTGTAGTATATTAAAGTTTAAAATGATAGTCCAAATAACAGGCTTCTCTCTAACTCAGAATGTTAATCTCATTAAGTAGTAATTTTTATGAGTAAATGGAGGCGTTTTGCGTACGTGAATTGGTGTCCCAAATGGAAATGTTAGAAGATGTCCCTTATGTGCTCTTTCTTAAAATTGCAAGAATGTGTTCTGCTTTTCTTTCAGAGGTAAAATGAAGAGAATTGTCTTCCAGTTCACCCCGTATAGCTGGGTCAAATTTGAGTGGAAGCCAGCGTCCAGCTTACGCAGATGGCTAGCAGTTTGTGGCATAATCTTTGTAGTAAGGAAACTTCTCTGTCTTTTCTCTGTCATTTGATGTAATGTTTTGTGACACTCAAGCAGCTGTACAAACAGTAACTTAGGCTGAAACTGCGACATGGTGATGTTTCTTTAGTTGAGGCTGGAAGAGATCACTTCTGAATGTGGCAGAAAAGGTGTCTGTTTCCATGTCTCTCGTTTACAGATTCACTGCATAAATATTTGCTCTTGCTTGCTGAACAATGTTGATTGGCAAGGTGAGCAATATAAACTGTGATCTGCCATAATTCAGCAAGTAACTGCTGCCACCAAGACATGGGCTTTGGATGGAAGTGGCTTGTTTCTCTCAGTCTTAAGCAGATATCTATCGCATTTCATCTGGAGGGGGCTGCAGCCAAGGCCTCGGGCTTCTGTACGTTAGCTCTGAGCAGCACGGCTCCTGAAGCGCACAGTTTTGCCTCAGATAATATTTTGAATTTGTATTATGGGAATGCGTCACCTTGACTTCATAACTTCCATTTCACAGTCGCAGGCATTGCGCACACGACACTGATAGGGAGGATACCCTTGGCAGTTTAAGTGCTTTTTCCCCACTCCTGCCTCTTGTCAGCCGGGGGACTTTGGCCTTTGTGCTGTCCATGGGATGTCACTTGGCTCTGCTCTGAGCGACTCAAACCTATTTCAATTCAGCAGCTGTGAAGTTTAACTAAAAAACACTTCTGGTGGTTCCAGAGACAGTGGGCATTAACCAGTTTCTGTGTTACTGCTATGGTACGGGATATAACCCCGCGTATTTTTTAACAGTTGCTAGAACAGCATACCTTTAAGCATCTTGAAATATGTGGAGCATGGTTTATTTTGGGGTCTGTCCAGTGAAGCGCCCTGTTACAGTTTGCTGAGTGGGACACGTTAGTCAGCTTGGCGAGCCACCGCCGCCTCTCTCTCGCAGTAGCGTTGCATTTTACGCCGATGTCAAACTGCAGACCTGAGGCGCTTCAGGAGCAGCGTGCTGTCTGTAAGTACACAAGCAGCGTTCAGCAGCGCCAGCAGTGAGTGCCAGGCAGTTTGCAAACTCAGTCGGTTGAATACGAGTTCACATCCCCTGATATCCGCTACATAAAACGTTTGCCAGGTTCACACAGCACAACAGACTTGCTGAGGCTCCCATAGTTTACGGGAGAAGTAAAGTAAATGTGCATGCAGAAATAAAATACGTGTTTCTCCGAATGGTTACTGTGTGCATACTCCCAGCTTTTTGCACCCTGAAGAAATCGGGTTTTAGGTGCTGGAGCAGATTTTGCAACTGAGTGGTTCCATTGAATTTATACTAGTCTTTGGTATAATAATGCTTCTTTTAGCAAAGCCTAGCTTCAGCTGACAGTTTATAAGCAGCTTCAGGTATTGGTTTGCTCTTTTGGATTAAACAGTGCTTAATGCCATTTGTTATAATTTCTTTTGAAGTGAGAAACTTGTGTCTGCTCGCTCACTTAATGACATTGCCAGGGCAGCTCACTTGAGAACACTTTGCTATAAATGTGTAACCAATTCTCCTAAGTCGGCTTTGGCAGTGGCGTTTGCATAGCTGTAAAAAAACGAACCAAACCAAAAAACCCCAGGATGTGCTGCGTATGCCTCTTGTTATTTTGGGGTTCCCTCAGTCGGATTCGAAATGATAGTGAAAGGACAAGTTGTTGCCTTTAGGATTTGTTATCAGTAGTCTGCAGGTACTTCACACTCCCGACAAACTTGTTCAAAATTAGAGGCAGTGCTTGTCCAGGTTTCTGTTGTGTTTTTTTTAATACCTCTTCCAACACACAGAAAATTTTTAAAACCCCAGCTGTCCTTGGTCGTCGTCGCAGCTGGTGGTGGTGCGCTCGGTAATACTGAGTAGGAGTTGTGGCGTTGGAGAGATGGTGGGGGGAGTCATGCAGGGAGAGAGGGAGGTTCCAGGCTTCATTCAGTGAAGTCTTCTGAATGTAATTAAAATGTCCTTTTTCTCAGTTTTTATTGGCAGAGCTGAACACGTTTTACTTGAAGTTTGTCCTTTGGATGCCACCAGAACACTACTTGGTCCTGTTACGACTTGTCTTTTTTGTCAATGTGGGAGGTGTGGCTATGAGGGAGATCTACGACTTCATGGACGACCCGTAAGCCAGTCCTCTTGTGTATATACCATGTCAAGCTTCACTTGCTTTGTTTTGAATTTGCTCCAGCTTGTTGGCATCCATCTCAGGGCAGTAGTTCAGTTTGTCGGGGACAAAAAGACCTAATCCCAAAGCATCTGCTTTGTGTTCTTTTGTTTTGGAGGTAAAATTCTGACTACATCTGGTTAGAGAACAGCTGTTGTTAAGGGCATTCGATGTGCACTGTTTTTAACCTCAGTTTTTAATAAATGATCACTCTTTTGAGAACGTAATGCGTAAATTAGCTGGAGGGCCACTGGCTTGTGGGCAGAGGAGTACTGAACTCCACTTTCAGATTGACAGCCAGGAACTACAGTCCTTAGATGTACCTTCTAAGGACAACAGGGCCCTTTTTTCCCCCCAAACAGTGGGCAACTATCCTTCTAGGACTAATAACTCACAAAGCTCGAAGCACTGAACTTTTGCCACTGGCGAGCTATTTGTGAAAGACAGATTCACATTCTTTTTAGTTGATTCCAAACTAAAAAAAAAAAAAAAAAAAAAAGTTTCTTAAAGGCGCTTCTTTTCTTGAGCTATCTTCCAACTGGTCCCTGGTCCTCTGGAGCTCTTGTGGCACCCTCTTGCAGATCAGAGGACGCTTTATAGCAGAGTGTATTGAAGGCGAAGTGCACCCGTACACAACAGTGCATGTACTTGCAGACTGTTCCTACTTAAGCATCATATTTGTCCTTGCTGCTTTTGTTTCTGCAGACCATGTAAGACCTGAGAAAGCTTTGTTCTCAAAATCACGTTTTCTTTTAAGTTTTAGTAGTAATGTCACAAATTGCCTGAGCCCACATCTTAAGTCTAAGACAACGTCTGGCTTCAAGGGATATTTCATTGTCTGTCGCTGACCAACGCAAAAAGTGTCTGTGTTCAGAATTTAGGGTTCCAACCTTCTATGAAGATCAGTTTCCCTTGCAAGGCTTTGACTCCTAGAACTGGGAAGAAGGGTCAACCCACATTGCTTAGTCGGATTTCAGGACATTCAGCAGTGGCAGGCTGCCCCTGCCTTTGGTGTCGGACCTACTGGTTTGGGACGTGCCTCCAACTCAAAGGTAAGAAGAGGTCTCTGCCTCTCATTGGTGAGCTCCTCTCCTTAGCACCATTCACAATCTTCTGCTCCTTGTGTTTGGGTTGGAAAAACTCCTTTGCCCTCGGTTCAACCACATGGCATAACATTGAAATGTAGGAGAATCATCAGTCACCGGTGCCTCATTGCTGATTCAGTTTGTTGCCATTCTTCCAATGAGCTGGAGAAGTCCATCCAGCAAGCCGAGGCTCTCATCTTGAACTGCATGTCTTCATCATTGCCACCACCACCCACTGTTCCGTTTGTCTTGGTGGGCAAGGTGACTAGCCCCCTCGCTTCTGAGGTTCATGGCTCTGCTTGATGCCCCACAGAGCTGACCTCATCAGACTGTTCTGGCAAAATGGCACAACCTAGCATCGGGTCTTACCTAGTATCTTCTCTGCGAAGGCTTTTGCAACTGGGCTTCGATTCCTTCATGCGCTTCAGGTCATCCAAGCAGAGATAATCCACCCCTGTTTTACCAACTTAACGGGGTGTATTTTCACTTGCACGCTGTTTTGAACCAAGGAACTGTTTCGGATTCTTCCTGTTGTGTTGTAGGGAGAAGCTGCTGGGGAAGAGCAGGCTGTACCAGAGGCTCCCAGCTAACAGCATATGAGAAAGCTTCCTGACCTTTTCCTTCTGGAAACTCGCTCAGCTTCTTAATGGACAAAGGCTGGAATATTCCATTGACCTTCCTTGTCAGAAACATGGCTCGTTGCCTTGTCTGGTAGTGACGGGATTGTCTGAGATAAACCAATTAGATCTCTTCAGCTAACCTTGCAGTATTTAGTCTAGAAAGTAGTGAAGTTCAAATATGAAGACTCTCTTTTTCCCATTCAGGACTCTTAGTATCGGCAGACAGTTCTAGGGCGTTGCTTTCAGGAGCTTGGTCTGAGCATGGTGACAATAAAGTACCTAGAATTGAAATAGTCCAAGAAGAGGGGTGGTTCTTGAAGCTTTTTCCAGCTCTTACATACCACGCTCCTGTTGTGAACAACATGCTGCCTCTCAGTTCTTGGGGACTGGCTATGTGAAATGTTCCTGACCAGAAATATCTCGATGCGAGAGTCTGTAGCATTTGACCGTGTCATATCTTCCTGGTTTCTAGTCTTCAAGTCTCTTCCAAGGAGTCTGCATTGAGGCCATGAATTTTTATCTCATTCATCAAACAAAAAAAGGACTTTTCTTTAAAATCTTTCATGAGTAGAAGGGCAGGAAACAAACTCTCTTCCTTGGCAGCTTGAGGTTCTGCACAGCTCTTCTCTTGGGGTTACCTTTAATTCTTTTTTGTCAGTGTGCCGTCATAAGCTAGTGAAAGAAAACGATGGCAAACGAGGAAGCAGATCAGCAAAGCAGAAAGCTGACCTTGTCATCTGAACAGCTTGAGCTCACAGTGAGAGATTTGCTGTTTCGTTTTTTCTCTCTATCCATGTGTTAAGGCTGGTTTCTGCCCATTTAATCTGTCGTACCAGATGAACCACCTGGAGCAGTTTCTGAAGTCCTTTCATCTGCGTTGGCCTAGGCAGGATACTTTTTTAAATGGAATGCAGTCATACCATCTGCATCAGCAGTAACCTACGCTTGATTTACTGCATCATATTTTATTCCAGAGTATTTCGACAATTTTGTGTAGTTTGAACTTACGCATTGGTGTCAAATAGGACTCTCAGGCCTCATGTTTAAGAAACCGTGTGTTTTGTGTGCTTGACTTGCAATGACTCCCCTGGATTCGGGAGAGCGAAGAGAAGCTCTGTTTGCCCTCCATGCTTAGATCCCTTCCCAGATCTGAGAATCCAAGGGGATGTAGTGGAGCAGATATGCCTGAGCACCAGGAAAACACCTGCTAAAGGAAGGATGCTCTGAAAGAGAAACTGGGAGCAGATGTGCAGTTGCAGCTCCCTCTGCCCCGGCGCTACTGGAGATGCCTGGGGCCTGTCCTGATGTGTGCGCACCGGGCAGCACGCTAGCTGGAGGCGGCAGGGCGGCAGGCAGGCTTGTTTCTCTGCCTAGCAGAGGGAAGCATTAGCAGAGCAGCCACTCTCCAAGGAAATCCTAATCAGGGATTTGCGAGGTGGCTTCTCTTTCATCCACTGCATGGCAAAACCGGCAAGAAAATACGGCCCGAGGAGCTTACGTGGCTACTGAATATCACAGCGTTTACTAAATCAGTGCCTCGGCCAGACAGGAGGCTGTGCATCACAGCAGTCGTAGACCAGACTAGAATTTCCCATTGCTGCAATGCCCTAGAAGTACTGCAGAGGTCATCTTAACACGTCCATCCCTCTCTCCCCAGCCCTCTCTAGGTTTGTTGTATCGCCTTGCTCCACGTCTCCTCTGTCCTGCCCCAGTAGTCCTGCCACTTGACACTGAATTCTTCCTGGATGTGTTTCACTTCGCACCTTATGCTGTGGCAGGAATGGAATAACACAGTAAGCTGGACAAAAGGGAAAGGACCCGGTAGGAAAACGTACTTCAGAATACACTGTGGTCAAGTGAGAGGGCAAGGCCCTCTGCAGAATAGATGCTCCCTGTGATTAAAGCAGAGACACCTAGAACAAAGGCAGAATAAGGAGTAACAGCAGGCAAAAAGAACAGCCGCCTTTACGTTTAGTTGGTGGTGCTTCTATTTGCGTGGTTTCTCTCGGACACCTTCAGAGACATAATCATCAGATAATGTAGCAGGGTTAGGGCTAACAGGAAAGTGAAGGCTTCTTTGTGTGGTGTTTGAGTAAAAGACACCATCCAAAGGCTGTTGAGAAAAGTTGTGTGTCCTTGCTGGTGAAACAGTTTGTGGTTATGGTGGTCGAGGGTATTGCTTTTCTCAAGTTCAGTCTTCCTTGATTCAAATCAGTTGGATTTCAGGAAACATTAATTAAATCATGCCTTTGAAAAAAAAAAAGAAAGAAAAAAAAAAAAGACATACAACTTCTAGTAGCTTTCTCTTGGTTCTTTCCTCTAATGGGAATAAAATCCTATTTTAGATGCAGAAGATGGGTGATGGAAGAACAAAAATTTAGTCTACCAGGCGGGAAGTGATGTACTTGACTCTGTGCTGTTGGATAGCACATCTGCAGGCACAGTGGTGCTGCGGTGCGCAGGATTTCGGTGCAATCCAATGCATAAAAACCAGCTTGTTCTGTTGCCCAAACAGAACCCCGTTTGATTACTGACACATGAATCATCTGGTCTGTCAGGTCAGTAAGCTGTAAAAACGTCAGGTCTAGAAATGACATGAACAGACAAGGTGGAGAAGCGGAGGATCTAACTGGATTAGATGGAGCAACTTCCCCAGGTTTCTAGCGATAGGCTACTGCTCGTGAGGGTAAGGAGGTTTCCTGAAAGGTATTCCTCTAGGTATTTTGGTTTGGGGTATTTCCCGTGCAGGAACAGGTGACCCCAAAGATGGTGTATTTCCAATCTCTCCTTCTGCAAGCAGAGCCTCGGAATAGATGTCTGGATTCTACTGCAGTTTAATTTCTGGCATTGCTGATTGATGAGTCCTTCACTAGACTTGTACATAGCACTGCAGCTTCTCACTGCCTTGTCTGGGACTGCTTAAAAACAAACCCTGGGGACTGAATATTAATCATGTATTTGCCCCGAGGCTGTGTTGTCCTAGAAGTGAAACGCCGTCCTTGTGTCTTCCAGTATCTTGCCTGTTTGTTATAAGCTTGCTTCTTTTAAAATCTGTTCAGAGATCATTAGTGACAGGTCATTGAATACCTTTTTGGGAAGAGAGTAAGTTTTGGAATGCAGTTATACAGGGGTTAAATATGGTTACGGCAGTGTGACTTGGCATTCGCAGAGGAAGTCTAGGAGTAGGGCTCCTATTTTGTACCGTACCCTGAACCTCAGCTGATCTCGAGCTGGTCAGGTAATTGGTTTATGTGGTTTTACCAATACCCTGAAAATGGGGATAGTTCCTTGTGTCGCCTGATGATGCAGTTTAACTTTTCGCGTATTTTCAGAGCCTCTCGGAGGAAACTGAAGTGATACCGACATGAAAGTCATCAGCCTGTGTAGGCTTAGTACATGTGTAATCCAAACTAGACTTTTAGAATTGTGCAAAGTTGAATGAAATTATTACCCCAGCTGTCTTCTTACGAATATTTCTCTGAATGCTTAGTTTTACAGCAGTAGCTTTGTTTTATCTGTGCCTTTATTTTGCAGGAAGTTCCATAAGAAACTGGGTCAGCAGGCATGGCTGGTTGCTGCTATCACTGCCACGGAGTTCCTGATTGTCGTGAAGTACGATCCATATACGCTCACGCTTTCTCTTCCGTTCTACATTACCCAGTGCTGGATCTTGGGGATTATACTTGTGCTCACCTGGACAGCCTGGCGTTTCTTCATTCGGTAGGCAGCGTTTGGCGTGCGACATTCAGGTCTAGCCTGGGTCTTACGGGGGGAGTTCTTCTGGACACCCGTTCAAAAGCGCTTCTTCAAATGCATGCCGTCGTTGGCCTTCAGTGCCTCCTGAAGACAGATTACAACTCTTTTGGATGGCTAAAGCCGCAGTGGTTTTGTGTAAGAATTATTAAATACCAGCATTGTTTATTCACATCACTAGTTCACATCTGTGTGTTTTTCTTTCTAGTGACATCACCTTGCGGTATAAGGAGATAAGGCGACAGAAGCAAGAGCACAGATATGAAAAGGACAAATGCTTGAGCAATGGTGACGGACACTCATCGATACTGGAAGAACAAAACGGGAACAAACTGAGGGAGAGGAAGCTCTGAGCAGCAGCCAGAGGGCTCAAAGGAACTCGTAGTGCTCAAGCTGGCCTGGTGGACAGTTTCAACCTTATCCTACCTAACTTGTAATTTTCATTGTTAGCTTTCCAATGTGTGGAAATCCTCTCGGGGAGAAGATGTCACTTTGACATACACACCCTTTCTCCTGACATACACCTAGTCAGAGTCGGAGAAAGTCTGTGTAGAGGGAAGTCAGAACCAGCACCGCTGCAACGAGATGGGATCTTCATTCAGGCGTGTCGTACGTCTTCCCTGGAAACAAGGGGTGGAGACAAGGGGCTTTAGCACAAAGCGCAAAGGGAATCTAGCTGATCTGTTGCCAGTAAACTGTGAGGTTTCAATGTTTGGGCATTGGGAACACTTGTTTTGGAGCCTACAGGTACCAGACACAGGAAACGAATTTTTTTCTGCTGAAACTACCTTGAGCTGTGGAGTAAGATTGTTTGAAGTGTTCAGCCACCAATTAACAGAACTGCAGTGAGATAAACACAGGTAAACTGAAGCTTGTGAACAAGTTGCGTAACTTGCACAGAATGTAATACAGAACACTACTGTTACAGCCCCTTAAGACGGGGCTTATTGCCTTTCTCTAAACTGACTTTCAACATCCTGGAATAGCCTACAATAGTTTTACGTTGTATCACAGCTCTAGGGAGACAGACAGCTTCTCCTTAGGTTTCTTTTTTTTTCTTAGTTTTTCATTTAGTCTTGGTCATCTCTTAAGTGTAAGGGGAGGTTAAGTAAGAAAGGTCAACCTGCCTTTCCTTTGCTTCGTGGAGTAAAATGTATTACAAGCGGAAAACTGGGAGTTACTCCCTCAGTCTTAAGTTATTTGCCTTATTCTCAGCTCTTTTAGTTTGCTTACCAAGAGGGTTTCATTCTTGGTGTCTGCTGTACGGGACACGTCTGGTTCTGCCATCCTTCAGAGCTGCCCCGTTCCTCCCAAGGTAACTCCAGACCGAGCAGTCTCCCGAGTCCGACTGGAGAAGGCGTTGTCTGCAGCCACGCACAAAATAGCTGTCACCGTGCCGCCAGCCCTGCCAAAAGAGCGAGCTGAGGCAAAGTGCATCGGTCTTCCCCAGGCGCTGCGTAGCAGCGGAGGTCTGCAGGCCAAGCTAGACAGCAGTTTTGCTGGTGACTCAGCATCTAGGAAAAGAAATTGGAAACCTGGGCTGCGTTTGGGTTTTTTTTTTTTTAAGTCATTTTTCCAAAAATGTAAGGGTACACCACACCA